AATATGGGGCAAGAAGACAGAGCAGCATGACATTAAAAGATTTATTATATGGGCTGGCCCGGTGGCGCACTTCTACAGTGCGCCGCTTGGGAAGCGCAGCGGTGCTCCCACCGAGGGTTCGGATCCCACATACAGACTGGCCGCTCACTGGCTGAGTGAGGTGCGGGGGCAACACTGAGGGGTGTGATCCGTTGCCGGTCCCAAAAAAAGAGACAAAAAGGGAAAAAAAAAAAAAAAGATTTATTATGTACACACGACAAATCTGGAATGACAACCAGAGACCTCATTTACATAGCATACTCTCCTTTCACCTGGACAAAATCATGAGTCTCATCTTTGTTCAACACCAAAGGCTTCTAAACAGGAGTGCAAATGACAATCCCAATTTCCATTCATGAAAAGTAGGTGACATATAACCAGGGAGATGCACAAAGATTGAGATAAGAAGGCTGAAATTCAGTAGTTCTTTGAGCGGCTCCTTACCATGGTTAAGAAAAGACCAAATTCAGGGTTCATAGTCACATTATCTCCATCAGTAAAAATAAAAGATTTTTTACGCTCCTTTTTACATGTCAGAATAATGGATATTTGCTGGGCTGCAACTGAGAGAACTGGTAGATCGATACGGTTAAATTCATCAAAACAACCCCAGGATCCAGACTGCGCCAGTCCTTAGAAAGGAAATTAAATAGAAAATCCAATTAGTATGTAATTTTGGAAAGCCAAAGAAAAGAATATTATGCAGCTTCAAAATGAGCCAGAGATAGATTTATTTTAAAATAAAGTTGAACGAACAGGTCACGCAGCAAGTGGTCCAAAACAGCTCACGATTTGGCACTTTGTAAACTCCCAACCTGCAGAGCTGAAGGGACATTATAAAAGGCAAGTGATATTAATATTTGGTCCATGCAACACTGGTAAGATTCAGAGTTTTCAAAAAAGTTTTACGAAGTTGAAACATGACACTAAAATGTAGCCAATTGTTGAAAAATAAATCTTAACAAGACATTCCACCTTAGCTGAAATTTCTCATCAAAAAAAATTACAACCCTCACCTTTAAAAATCCGTCCAAGTCCTCGGAAATCCATCTGGTCTGAACAATTGAAAACCACGACGTATTTCCCAAGACATCGTCCCATGTCTTTGGTAGTTTCTGTTTTGCCTGTTCCTGCGGGTCCGGCAGGAGCTCCCCCCATGCTCATTCCCAGAGCTTGAGCCAATGTGATATAACACCTTGAGGGGTAGAAACACCACTAGAACCATCTCACCAGCATCTAGAAGATACTTCTGAGACATCACAGTGAAAAGAAACCCGCACAAGATTAAAAAACAGAAGACCTGGGCCATTCTCCCTATGCAACATTTCTAAAACTACAACCAAAAATACATTTATCCTTATGGGTGTTAACATGTGTTGAGGAAAAAGGAGGGGGAAGTCTCCACTCAAATAAGTTTGAGAACTCTTTAAAATATTGAACAGGTTTTCTTACCGCTGAATTTTTCAGGCTTTCTTATCACAATGTATACTGAGAATCTCCAAGTACAAAAAAAAGTACCTAGCATTTTCAAAACTTATTTGAAGATTTTTACCAGAAACCTGTTCATGTCTAAATAATAATACTTATTCAACATCAGTAATCATCAGGGAAATGCAAATTAAAACCACTATGAGATATTATCTCGCACCCAGTATTAATTAAACACAGTATTACCATACAATCCAGCAATACCTTGTCCAGGTATATACCCAGAGATGAAATCCCATCTTATAAAAATATCTGCACTTCCATGTTCACTGCAGCATTATTCACCATAGCCGAGATACAGAAACAACACCAAGTGTCTGTCAGCAGATGAATGGATAAAGAAAATGTGGCATATATACAATGGAATATTATTCAACTCTAAAATTAAAAAAAAAATAAGATTCTGCCATTTGCCACAACATGAATGGACCTGGAGGACATTATGTTAAGTGAAATAACCCAGACACAGAAAGACAGAGTCAAATATACAGAGATAGAGAATAAAACAGTGGTTACAAAAAATAAAAAGTGGTTACATGTAACAGATATGTAGGAAGAACAAATCTAGAGATCTAACGTACAACATGAGGACTATAGTTTTAAAAAGTGTACTGTGTTAGGATTTTTGTTAAATAAGTGATTTTAGTTGCTCTTGTCACAAAAAAAAGTAACTGTGAGATGATAGATATGTTAATTTGTTTCTCTATAGCAACCACTTTACTATTATGTATCCTGTAACATCATGTTGCAACCCTCAAACACACACAATAAATTTTATTTTAAAAAAATAAAAGTAAAGAATAACATTCTGTGAAACAGATTGGGAGCCATTTAAGTAGATTACTCCACTTTTGAATCTGAGTCGATAATTTGATGAACTTGGGATTTAAATCACACGATGTTAAATCATCACATCTTGACTCTGTTTCTGTGAGCATCTACCAGACTTGTACATACCCTCTACATGAGATTACCAAATAAAACATTCAGTGAGAGAATACAAGAATCTCTGTAAAGGAAAAATTTTAAGCTGGAAACTTGCTGATAAATTTCTTGATTCCCACCATCACCTGGTATTGTCAAAGGAGACAATTTATAAAGTGGTGCATTTTAGGGGTTTTTTTATGGCCAAATTATAAAGCATTCATCGGGACTTGAAAAAGATTTCAAAGGAAAGGAAGTGACTATCCAGCACGAGAGGTGGAAATGAACAGTGCGCACTCCAACTAGGGGGTCTCCCAGAGTCTCTGTTTTGTTGAAAACAGATCCTAAAAAGGCAAGTAAATGACCCAGCCCTGAATGTATTCAGAGCCTGAATATGGAAGAAAAGATCTGGGTACGAAACGAGGAGGACGCCTGAGCTCACTTTGATTTTGTCATTTAACCCAAGAACCCAGGGTCGTATTTCTCCCCTTGGACTTTTGCCACCCCTTTCAGAGCAGAGTCTGTAATAAGTACTAACAGCCAACACGATGTGCTCCAAATACGTTATCTCCTTTATTCCTCCAGAGAAGCCTGCAAGGAAGCTACTGTTCTCTCCATGTTACAGATGAGGAAAGAGGCTCACAGAGATTGAGTAGCTTTTCTCAGGATCACAGCGGGAGAGCTGAGACTTGAGCCGGCCCATCTGGCTGCAAGCCAAGCTCCCTCGCTGCCCGGCTCTGGGACACGTCCACCCTAACAGGGTGGGAAGCACATCTCCATCAGCTCTGGACACTCAGCTGCCCTGTCTTGAAACCCTTTTTAAAACTGGGATTGTTGGGTTTATATTTAAACTGAAAACTAGTAAGTTGTTAAGTTGCCTCAAAGAAACCATACTATTTACATGAAAAATGGGTGGGCATGCCAGGTGACTTATCCTTTATTTCCTCCACTAGGTGAGGCTTCAGACCAGCTTCTACACTGGCACCCAAACCACCTTTTAGTGACAAGCACAGGTCTATCAGACGCCTTATAAGTGTATATGAGACTCTTCCCAGAGTATTCCACATGTACGGGGACCTCCCTCTCTCCCTTCTCTGCTGTCCTTTCCAGTCTCTTTCTCCTAGCTGTTTTCAAAAATGTCTCCATTCATGAACAAGGTCTGACCTTTTATGTGTCTCAGTAGCCTGCTCACAGTTCTGTTCTAATTTTCCACCTTCGCATTAGACTGCTGTAAAGTGTCTGCTGTCAGAAGCTGGGGCTACCTCACACTGTACCCACAACGACTTGCCCAACCCCTGGCACTATGTACTCTGAATATCTGTCAAATAAATGGCTTGAGCCAGTCCAGCCATACACCCTTAGCTGGTTCTTCCTGTCCCAACAGCTACTGGAATTAAAGATGCAGAATGTGGCCACAATGCTGAATGGACAGTGAATGACCCCATGACATGGGGCTCATTAGCACTCCATTTAGTTGAATCTGCCACCAACATAAGTATAAAGTATTCATAGCACTGTAGATGCATTTCATCACATGTATGTCAGAAGTGGTTTCAGCTCTTATAGATTGTAAAATGGAGAAAAGCTTCCTAAAACAATGGTTACGTGCATTAGCAAGGTGCTTTTCTATGTTGAGCACTTGGTTTAGTTACACACTTTGATTATAGGACGTGCTTAAGGAGAAATAAAAGAAAAGGTTGCTGAAGAATGCGTTATCAATGATTAAGAAAACCAACAGTCATAGCAAAATAATAGTAAACTAACGTTTACTCTGCCTCGGGCCTGCTGGGTACTTACAATACCTCTAGTCCACAAACAATTCCAAAAGAAAAGAATCAAAGAGGTTAGGTGTCTTGCCGAAGACTACACAGCTGCTAAGGGCAGAATTAAGGGGTCAACACTCAGGTATATCTCACAGAAGCTGTGAGGATATGTCAGTGAAAGACCCACATTGTTAGGCTTGCCTACATTTCTTACAAACAGAGAAGATGCCTCTCTTAGCCCTGATTTCCTCTGCCTCTGTCTTAAGTGACAGCAGTGGTCAGGGCAGTTCTAGTCTTCTCTACATGTGCTCAGAAGTGGAAGGAAGGACTGGTCCTTAAAAATATCATAAGTTTTTGGAGGATGATGCTATACGTTTTTATTATATTATAGTGGCTATTTTATCATGCGAAATGTCTGCAACTCTATCAATAGCATTGAACTTCCCAGACTCCGGAGAGCTGCCACAGCTGGTGAATTTTCACAGGCCATTCAGTGAAAGGTTAACAACATACATGTCAGGGACTCCAGCAATTAACTTTTTTAAAGTATTCATTTTATGATGAATTTTCTTTTGTAAAAGGGCAGCAAATATTGCAATGTAACCCAATGTCTAGCAGAAAATAATGACTTGCTTCTCACATAATCGAGTTAGTTGAAGAAAACTAAAGAAATGAACATTTTTGGGTGAAACAGGCTGAACAAAGCTTAGAATTACCTCCACTTATATACTTATAAATACTTGTTTTGCTTTTAAAGTTCTCAAGTTTTTTGATATAAAAAGTTGGACCAGGGCCGGCCCGGTGGCGCGCTGGAGAGTGCGCCACTTGGGGGCGCGGCGGCGCTCCCGCCGAGGGTTCGGGTCCCATGTGGAGACTGGTCCCCGCTCACTGGCTGAGCATGGTGCGGGCGCAACACCAAGGGTTGCGATCCCGTTGCCGGTTCTACTTTATGCTGTTCTGTATCATTTAAATTTTTCACCATAAAGACACAAATTTGGAAATAATCATTTCTTTCATTCATTCAGGAAATATTTATCAGCACCTATTATGTGACGGAATGATTCTAGTGGATAAGTCATGTGAATCCCATGCCTTCAGGAGCTTACATTGTAAAGGAAGGAAACATTAAAAAGTAAGAAACAGGGAACAGAAAGCTGGGTCAGAGGGTTATGGAGTGTGGGGACTGCTGCTTCAGAAGCGGTGGGTCAGAAGACCCCTCTGACACCAGAGCAGAAGCCTGAGGAAGTGAGCGAGCAAGCTAAGCCACTATTGAAGGAAGACGGTTCCAGGCCAAGGGTAAAACAAGGCCCCTTGGGCAGGACTGTGCCAAGGAGCAGGCGGCCAAGGTGAATGAGGAAGGAGAAGCAGACAGTGGCAGGAGCCAGATTGTACTGGGCATCACAGGCCAGTGTAAGGACGTTGGATTTTACTTTGCAGAAGATGGAACCACAGTGGAGGGTTTGGGGCAAACTGTGACAGGCTCTGACTGATATTCTGGTGTCTGAACTGAGAATATACTGTAGAGAAACAACAGCAGAAGTAGAAATACCAATTAAAAGATCATTGCTATAACCCAGGTTAGTGATGATGGTGGCTTGGACAGAGTGGTAACAGCAGACGGGTGAAAAGTGGTCACATTCTAGATGTGTTCTGAAAGCAGCACGGACCAAATTGATGGTCGACTGGATAGTAAGGCGAGAGAGAAAGAAAAGCTTCAAAGATACTCCAAGGATTGGGCGCTCAGAAAGCTGGAAGGTAGCATGTTCACAGGTTTCAGGGATATGGACATGGACATCTTTTGGGAGAACAACTACCCTATCAGAGTTTCCCCCTCCACTCTGATAAAATGTCATGACCATTTACTAACACGAAGAAGACAAAAGGAGGGTGGGCCTGCAGGGGACAATGAAACATGCTAAGGTTAAATACCCTGTAAGTCCAAGTGGACATGTCATGTGGACAGGTGGCTACATNTGTTAACATGTGTTGAGGAAAAAGGAGGGGGAAGTCTCCACTCAAA